AGGAGGAGGAGGAGGAGGAGGAGGAGGAGGAGGAGGAGGAGGAGGAGGAGGAGGAGGAGGAGGAAGGCTCTGGCTGTCGGGCCCTTCCTCGGATAGCCGGGTGGGGGCTCGCCTCGTTGCCGAGCCCCGCCGCGGCCAGAGAGACGCCCCCATCGCTCCTTGGCGAGTGCCTTCCTGGAGCTGGGGCGATGACTGTCACCCAGGGCTGCACCCAAACGTTCTGGTTCGTGTTGGTTTCGTCTTGTTCTCCGCTCTGCTCCACCTGCGTTCCTCCTGTTGTCGTTTTGAGTTCGTCTTGTGTGCTCGTCCTGTGTTCGCCCTGTGTTTCGTTTTGCGATCGTTTCGCTTCTCGTTCTGCTCCACCCGCCTCTCCATGCAAACCAACCTCCCCCCGAAGCGCAACGCACGCGACGCGTGCAGCCGAGGTCCAGCAGCACAACGCTCGGGCCACGACCCTGCTGTCGCCCAAGTCCTTCAGCCTCGTGCGTCGTGTCCGGCGGTGCGCGACGCGCGGGCGCCATCGCACCCTCGCGCCGCCGCCCTCGAGAGGGGCGCCCCCCTCCAACGCCCTCGAGCTCGGGCCGCGCCGCGCGAGGCGCGGTGATCCTCGCGCCCCCTCGGGCGACCTCGAGGACGAGCGGGCGCTGAGCTGCGGCGGCGGAGCTTGCGCTGAGCCCTCGGCCGGGTGCCGACCGACTGCTTTTCTTGTTCCCGGCCTCTGGCCTTCGTCTCAGTTAGCAGCTGTTTCGGCGTGCGCGTCAATCGAGCAATTGCCCTGGGAGCACCGTGACCTCTCACCCAAGTGATACGAAATGTGATGTAGGACGTTCCTGCACATGCTTCCAATCGCGGCATTCCCACATACATGGGCGCATTAGTTCGCGACATCAATGTAGGGAGCGACGGCACTTCCATCCTGGTCGTGCTAAGGATTGATCAGCACGGAGCGCAACTACCACATAAACTACGTGCTTCTGCTGCCCGAGATGGTAAATCCAGCACAAACAAACCCAGCGCACAATGTGGGCAACTATCAGCACTGGCATTGCCGCACGCGCACGCATACTGGGAGCACCTCTCCACAGGATACGTCGACTTCCTGTACCTGCCTTGGTAGCCCATGTTGTGGAGTACCATTATCGCCCGAGCCTGGCATAGCGAGGCATACACACGATTTACATAGCGAGGCACATGACCACCTCTTGACCAGTGCACCGCACATGGATCCATGGCAACACTCAAGACGCCAAAGACATAGCAACGGAGCCATCGGGCTGGCAGAAGTCACTGAGAACAGACGATGGCGCAACGCATGAGACAGCCACAGCAAACACATCGAAAAACGACAAGGGCCATGTTGGATTTGCGCCACACTTACCGAAGCAACAATGAGGCGTGCATTGCAGCACAACGCACCTTCCGATACGTCGAGTTCGTCTTGTACTTGTAATTCAAATACATCGGCAACAAGCCAGTCTGCAAAGTGGGTACAACGCCGGCACACATCCTAATTCACATCCTATCGTCCTCCTCAACCTCCTTACCCTCCTTTCCCTAGTTTCTCCTCGCTTCTCGCTGCTCCGTCTTCCCGCTTCCAATTTTCTACCCTTCCCCCTCTCTCCACTATCCGATCATTTAAATTTGTTCCTCATCTACTCCCCCTTCATCTAAACGTCCTCGTCGTCCTCCTCGTTCTCTATTTATTTCGTCCTCATTATGCTCATCTTCCTCGTCATCATCATTATCATGTTTCCTCCTCGACCTCCAACTACACCTGCTCCTCAACATCAAACTTCTGCTCTTTTCTACGCCGAGCTCATCTCGCAAGTTCGCTGTGTGCAAGGTTATGTATGAATGCGTGTATGCAATTATACATTATGTGAGGCTGCGAGGATCTGAAGAAGCCAACCGCAGGTGCCAACTCTTTACAATTTATACCATGAGCCCGCCACAGACGCCACATTTTTGCGAAAGGAATGTGAGTGGGGCGCAGGGTGCGCAGGTGGATCGCAGGTGGGTCGCGGGTGGGTCGCGGGCGTGTCGCGGGAGGGTCGCGGGTGGGTCGCCGGGTGGGTCGCGTGTGGGTCGCGGGTGGGTCGCGGGTGGGTCGCGGGTGGGTCGCGAGGTGGATCGCGGGGTGGGTCGCGAGTGGGTCGCGGGGTGAGTCGCGGGTGGGTCGCGAATGGGTCGCGGGTGGGTCGCGGGGTGGGTCGCGGGTGGGTCGCGGAACGGGTCGCGTGGAAGGACGCGGGTGGGTCGCGGGCTGGGTCGCGGGTGGGTCGCGGTCGGGTTGCGGAATGGGTCGCGGGTGCGTCGCGGGCCCGGTCGCGGGGGGGACGACGACAAACATCAGCAAACAAACAACAAGAATACGCATCGCGGAAACCCACTTCAACCACGCACCCAAGGACAGTGAACGGCCGCTCGGTCGTATAAGCGTATCTACCCGACCTGATAATCAGAATGAGGGGCCGAACGGTCATTCATTGTCCCTGGGTGCGTGGCTGAAGTGAGAATCCGTGGTGAGGATTCTGCGTGTTGTTGTTGTTGCTGCTGCTGTTGTTGTTGCTATTGTTGTTGTTGTTGTTGTTGTTGTTGTTGTTGTTGTTGTTTTTGTTGTTGTTGTTGTTGTTGTTCATGCTTTTGTTTGTCGTCGCCTCCCCCGCGGCCAACCCGCGACCCTCCGCACGACCCACCCCGCGACCCACCCCACGATCCACCCCGCGACCCACCCCGCGACCCACCCGCGACCCACCCGCGACCCACCCGCGAGTCACCCCGCGACCCGCCCGCGACCCACCCCGCACTCCATCCGCGACCCACCCGCGACCCACCCGCGACCCACCCGCGACCCACTTGCGACCCACCAGCGACCCACCCCGCGACCCACCCACGCCCACCCGCGACCGATCCACATTGGTTTGAAGAAGAAATCGGCGCCTGCGAAGGGTTCGTTGTACAATGTGTGAAACTGTGACGCCTGCGGTAGGCTTGTCCAGAATCTCGCAGAGTGCCGACGTCCCCACCGCCCCCCTCGCTCTTATCCGCATATGCGGGGTGTTACGCATTTGTCACCAACCGTCCTGTGGTGTTGGGTCCCTCGTTACAAAACGCATATCATAGTCCTGGGACTGGGTGGGGTCACCTTTGGCCTATGAAACTTCAACCGATCCATCGCGGGCCCCATGTGTCTCACAGTATATCTTCCACAAGACCAACGTCGACTGTTTAAGTTTGCGCCTGATCGCCCAAGATCTCACCCACGCGCGCGCCCAAGCCAACGCAGCGCACCAACCCGCCGCCGAGCCACCCGTGGGCAGAAGCACGAAGCGGGCAAGCGCCGAACATCGATCGCGTCGCGGCCAGGCGCCCGAACCGGACGCAAACAAGGCCAGCCGATTGTCGAAATAGGAATGCGCTGAACATAGATGGTGATCGGAATGCACATGTACAGTAGTTCCCCCAACGACCGACGGCCCAGACCAAATCCTAGGACATTTGGGACCTATATTCTAGCATACGGGGTTTCGGGGGTACACGCTATTGTGCCTCCAGATAGGCGATTCTGAAACCTTGGTTGCATCACGCTTGCTTCCTACCCTTGGATCTCAACTTAGACATCAACAAATCTTGGTTGAAGAAACTTCTGACAAACGGAACTATACAGGCCGCCTCCCAGGAGGACTCATGGTTTAGTTCTCGCTGGCGTACTAGGATGATGGTGATGGTGATGATGACGACTCATGCTGAGTCATGGGAAGATTCGAATAGCAACGGGTGATGACGCTCATGGTGATGCCGATGTCGCCGCTTCTGATGGCGGCGCATGGTGACGCTATCGTGGATGGGTCACGGATAGTGATAGCTCCTGACAATGGTGACCCAGACAGCCCGTAGTAACGATGGAGATTCTAGAGGCCTCTCAGATGGGGTTGAAACAAATGCGGTCTGAGGATCGCACCGCATCGTCGATGCATCGGCGACGTCGGCGCGGAGAAAATCGTGATCCACGTCAAGCCGTATCGCCGAAGCATTGGCGATGCGGCGCGCTCCTTTCATCTCTGACCCCACCAGGGAGGCCCAAGCCAATCTTTGGCGACGATGGTTTTGTAGACGGGAAATGAGCGGAAGGCAGTGAGGGGGCTTGGGCGATAACAGTTGGAATCAGTGTCCCCCCTGGCCTGGATATGGACCCCCGCCTGAATGTGGGGGCAGTCAAATAACAACAAACTGAAGGCACATCAACTTCCGGAGGCCCTCAGAGATTTCTTGCCTCGGCGCGGGCCCCACTCTCCCTAGCGCGCGGAGCGCGCCGGGGTCGGCGCCCGGCGCCGCCAAAGGCGCCGCCGGGGGGGACCCTACGCAGGTCCAAGAGATCCGCTGGGAGCTCCACCCTGACCTTCCAGGAGGGCAAAAAAAAAGCACGCGACTTAAAAACCGATCCCAGAGCTATTCTACGTCTTGGTTTTAGGCTGTTTCGTTTCGCTCTTAGGTTTTTAAATCTCCAGTGACAAAAAATAGCTCTCTGGAAGGTCAGGAAAGAAAGCATGTTCAAGCCGCTTTCTGTTCCCCTCGACAGATGGAACTCAGGCGCAAAAGGCTGGGTGCTGCCAGACGCGGTCCCGGCCCGGGGCGTCCCCAGCCCTTGGCGCCCCTGTGAAGCCCCACGGGGCCCCCTGGGCCTCGTGAAGGTCGCTCTGGAGGCCGCGAGCGGGGGCATCCCTCCTCCTCCTTCCTCCTCCTCCTCCTCCTCCTCCTCCTCCTCCTCCTCCTCCTCCTCCTCCTCCTCCCCCTCCTCCTCCTCCTCCTCCCCCTTCTTCTCCTCCTCCCCCCCCTCCTCCTCCTTCTCCTCCTTCTCCTGGAAACACTGGGCACACTTGGGGCAGGGAGGCCTACCACGAGATCCGACGCTGCAAGAAGAAAAGGTACAACATCGCAGCAATCGCGACCCGAGCAGAAGACCCCGCCTTCCTGCCAGCCAGATGCCCGGAGACCGCAGCGAAGCACAAGCTCGCCCGCTGTGGCAAGACCGCAGCGCCATGGTCTCAAAATCTGGCAACACCCAACCTGGCCATCGCTCGGACGTCCATTCCCTGTGCATTTATCGGTTTCGTGCGTGTTTTTTGTTTTTCGCCAAATGATCAAGGATGCTCCTCAAGGGTCCTCGCCGGAAAAAAAAACGTCCGAGCGACTTCAGGAGACCGCAGCGCCATGGTCTCAAGACCTGGCAACACCCAACAGGCGGGGCCAGACCGAGCCGCACCCAGGCCTGCCAGTCGTTGGCCATGAAGCAGACCTCTCGCCGGCCGCGCGAGCGCGCTCAGAGCCGACTCTAGATTCACAACCTCCTCCTCCTCCTCCTCCTCCTCCTCCTCCTCTTCGCTCCTCCTCCTCCTCTTCGTTCCTCCTCCTCCTCCTCTTCGTTCCTCCTCCTCCCTCTCCTCTTCCTCCTCCTTCCTCCTCCTCTCTCCTCCTCCTCCCTCCTCTCCTCCTCTCCTCCTCCCCTCTCCCTCTCCCTCTCCCTCTCTCTCCTCCTCCTCTCCTCCTCCTCCTCCTCCTTCTCTTCTCCTCGACTCTTCCTCCTCCACCTTTCCTCTCCTCTCCGCTCTCCTCTCCTCTCCTCTCCCCTCCTCTCCTCTCCTCTCCACCCATTTCATCCCATCGCATCTCAGCTCAGCTCCTTTCCTCCTCCTCCTCCTCCTCTTCCTTCTCCTCCTCCTCTCGACGGGCGGCCCGCGGGCCCCGCGGCGTCCGGCTCCTTTCCCTACGGGGCTCCTCCATCCTCCAGCACCTTCTCCTTCCTCCCGTGTCGCATCTCGGCAAGATTGCTCACGACATGGTTCCCAAATGCTGAGCTGCAGGCTCGGGTTTGGCACCCTGCATTCGTATACGCGAGGGCTGAACATCCTGTGAGATCCTGCTCCGCGTGCGCGAGACACGGGAGGCGTGTTTTGTCTCCCCTCTGTTCCTCGAGGAGGAGGAGGCGTTCCTCGAGGGGAGGAGGGGGAGGAGGAGGAGGAGGAGGAGGAAGAGGAGGAGGAGGAGGAGGAGGAGGAGGAGGAGGGAACGCTCACCAGGGGGGGAGGCGGACCAGCAGCAACAGCAGCGAGGAGAGAGACCAGCCCCTACCCCGCGGCCTCTGCAGCTACACTTGGAACAGGAGGGCCAGCGCCCGCAGTCAACAGCTGTCTGACTAGCATTGCCTTCTTGGCAATAGCACGGGCCCTGGTCTCCATTAACATAACAACCTGAGCGTTCGAAATCCTCCCCTTGCTCCTCAAGGCATTAAAGGACGAGAGCAGGAGATCCGAAGCAACGCCGAGAGACAGCAGCTGGGCACGATTGGAGACACAGACTCGGTGGAGGAGCAGGCGGGCGAGAGAGGGGGTCTCAACTGGGCAGGCAGACAGGCTAGGCAACAGGCGAGAGAGCATCAAGAGCTACAGGGCATTCATAATAGTGTCTCACATCGTCTCCTCCCACAGCCTTACACCCGAACGTACACGTGAAAGCACCTCCTCCGTTGTGGCGGAACCTGCGGATAGCGCACCATCCGTTGCATATCCCTCGGAGCTGGGAGACAACAGTGAAGAAGGGGAGCTCGGCGCTGAGGATGATTAGTTTCAGAAAACATCTGTCAGCGCCGGCGGGAGACCATTCAGGATCAAAGTATTGGGGCCGAGGAATAAGGAAGGCAACAGCAGACGGTGTACCGACTTTGGCATGCAGCATCTTGAACACCTTCCTTTGGAGGTCGACGACTTGTCTGTCATACGGGCGCTGGTGGATTTGCTCAAACTCATCCTGAACAGAACGTAAGTGTTGAAATCTGCTCTGATCGACCCAGGACCGACGGCGGGGAAGGAGGACGCGCTCGTCATCTTCCAGCGCGCGATCCCAGTCCCCTCGGGCAACATACAATTGTGGGCTACGCACGGCAACTCGATAGGCAGCTGCTTTGCACTCCAGCTCGAGGCGCCTTGGCTCGATCGGGGCTCCGATGGCGTTCAAAGTCTGAAGCAATTTGGGCGGCGTGGCATGCCTGGGGCCATTCGCCAGGGAGTGGTGGGCCTCGTGGACCGCGCGGAGAGCAGATTTAGGGGGAGGAAGGAACTGACCAACAAACGATAGTGTAGAAAAACCAACAATACTGCAGGCTGCCAAACTCGGGAGACGCCCCATCTTCAAACTCTTGATGTGGCAGATTCTCTTTTTGAACTCGCTGGTCGGATGAGCCCAGGAAGCCCCCGCACTTCCCACCCCCAGGAATATCCCAAGATACCTAGCAGCCCCGACAAACTGGAAACTGGCCTCCTCCACCCCCTTATCTTGCAACTTCCGAACGACGCCCTCCTTCCCCTCGGCATCGAAGTAGACGACGTATGTTTTGCTCGCGTTGACAACGAGCCCCGCCCCCCTCTTGACGAGCCCGAACTCTGACATCACGACTGGCATGCTTTCGAAGAAGTGCCTGCTGGAAAGCCCGAGGTCGTCGGCAAAGACCCCGAGCCTGCAGCAGTGTTGCCTGAGCTGGAATTGCATCCCCCTAATAACCGGATCAAAACACAGGGCCCCGATTATCCCAGAAAGCTGGCAATTTTGCTTTACCCCGCGACAGCATCGAATACCTTGCCCCTGGTCTCCTTGGAAACCTCGGAAGGAAGCTTGCGTAACACTATCACGGTACAACTCTTGAATGGCCCAGATGATACATGGAGGGAGGTCCATCGCTCGTAGTACTCGAACAACCCAGGTGCGCGCCAAGGACGGGAAGGCACTGGCGATGTCGAAGAAGGCATGGGCCGCTTCAGGCTCGCCATGCACAGACACCCACCGAAGCATCGCGGCCTCGAGCTCTACGATGTCCTCTGCAAGTTGGCGCCCTCCTACAAAACCACGCTGGCTGAAGTCAACGGAACTGGTGGCAGTGAGCGCGAGGTACCATCCAATCATGTTGCTGATGATTGTGTTGTCGGTGTTGCTCAGGGCGATTGGTCTCGTAGTTGCTGGTTGCCTAGAAATCGCATGGTGCCCCTCGCGTTCCGTGCCTTTGGGTAGAAAGACACTCAAAGCAATGTTGCACTGGTGCGGGAAAGCCCCTCCCCTAAGCAGCGCTTCGTACAGCTCGTATAGAGCCGCGTGCATCAGCCCCCCTCCTTTCAGCCAGACCGAGTAGGGGAGCCCATCGGGGCCAACAGCTGAGCCCTTCGGAGTTTCGAGAAAAAAAAGACAACTGCAGGACGGCATTCTTATCACGGGGTTCGGAGCGGCTTTGCCCACAAACGGGATAAATGTGTCAATCACCTCTTCCTCCACCTCCACCTCCGAGAATACAGTCTGCCAGTGGGCCCGCAAAGCCTCGGCACCTTCCGACGGGTTGACAATGGGCATCCCTCGGGGATCGCGAATCTGAACCAGTCCAATTTTCCTCGACTCCGGGAACCACCCAGCTTGTCTTTCTTACGAAGAACCTTGGCTCGGGCTGGCTTTTTAGCGGGGGGGCCAAGGGAGTCGTGATTTTCCCGCATAAGCTGGTCGATATGCTCGCGGTTCAGACGATTCATCAGCTCCTAAAAGCCGTCAAGGTCGGAGAACTGGCCAGCTCCGAGATCAACAAATCTAGATAGGTCAGGAAATCCACGGCAGGCTTTTGAAAGTACTCTGCCATCCCCTCGCCGAACAGCTCTCTGCACGGCATGCGTCCAGGAAATCTTCTGGATGGGATATTCGGGATATGCACCTGCCAAATCGGCCAGCGCGGCCTGCTTCGCGGCGAAGGCAAACGACTTAATCTCAGCGATTGTGATTTTCGGGTCGTCGTGGAAGTCCAGAGAAGCCGCGATGGCCTCAACATGTCCAGGAAACCTTTGACGTTTGGCGGCCCAGGACGGAATCCTCCCTAGGGGCTCTTTCGCGGACGGAGTAGGCTACAAATAAACAGGAATATGGTCGCTGGAATTGCCGACTCCGAAGGCGCTCCCATGCACACCTGTGGTAGGGTGGAGGTCGAGCAAGGTGGACACATAGGCGTTCACGTAAATGCGATCCAGGCGAACGACTGAGTCGGGCGTCCCGTTACGGTTGCGCACATGGGCGTGCCATTCCTGCTCGAGATGGTAGCGGCTGGGCGAATTCTCCCCAGTCCGCCTTCCATCCAGGTGCTGCCTCGACTCCCCTGGCGCGTAAAAGTTGAAACCACCTCCGAACAGGGTTAGAGCAAGACGCGGCCCGCGGACAAGACGGGCTCCCTCAGACAGAACAGCTCGTTTCTGGAACACACGAAGATCAGGGTCGAGATGGGTCGGAAGTGAGGGGGTGAGATCGAAGTGGAACGGAGAGCCCCCCTACCGGGAAATCGATTTCGGTTTCGTGTTCGTGCGTGCCGTGCGTGCGGGCGAAGCGAAGCTGCGTGGGCGGGCGAGAAGAAAGTCTCCTGTGGCTGAGGCGCGGCCGGACCAAATGTCTCCCTTCCGGGCGGCCGGTAGCCCGCGGTGTCCCGCCGGTGTCCCGTGGTGTCCCGCGGTGTCCCGCGGTGCCCCGCGGTGTCCCGCGGGTGTCCCGCGGTGTCCCGCGATGATGATGATGATGATGTTGATGATGAGATGATGGTGATGATGACGATGGTGATGCTGATGATGCTTCTGATGATGCTCATGCTGATGTTGATGCTGATGATGATGATGGTGATGCTGATTATGATGATGCTGATGATGATGAGGACGATGATGATGATGATGATCGAAAGAGATCGAGTGTGAGATAGATCGGGTGAGATCGATTGTGAGATCAATTGTGAGATCGATTGTGAGATCGGTCGAGGGATACCGATCGAGCGAGACCGATACTGATATCGATAGTGAGATTGATAGTGAGACCGATCGAGTGAGACGTTGGTTCCTCCCCCCCCCCGAACCTCCTTATCACCCGAAGGGTGGTCGTATAGGTATTCATAATATGTTGACAACTGAGAGGACCAGAGAGGAGAACGGAGTGGATCCTTCCTGCCTGATGCACGCTGTGGCGGGCAAAACGAAATAGCTGATGTGAAGAGTTCTGAATAATGATCGCACATCCGCCAGCCCGCGCGGACGAACAGTAGGTGGAGCACACGCAATGTTGAGGAAGAGACTGACGGGGCGTTTCATCGCCCCCAGGAGTCCCGTGCATTTCTTGCAGAAGTAGAATCGAATGCCTGGCGGAAAGATAGTCAATGCTTTCTGCTTCCGGCGCTGGGTCCCAGGAGAACCCTATACTCCGCCGTGGAGACCTTGATAGTTCCAACTGCAAATACTCAAGTGCTGCTTCGGAAAGAAGGCATGCAGTGGTGCTCTCTCTGGGCTCGAGCTCCCGCTCGGACTGGGCGAGGTGGAAGAAGACGAAGAAAAGGCAGAACGAGCGGAGGAGGAGGACGAGGGGGAACTGCTGGAAAATAGCCTGTGCCTGCCCGCACAATGCTAGTGTTTCCTGCAGCCTGCTGCCGCTGGAGTGGGGAAGCAATGCCTTGAGACGCGAAGAGACAGGAGATAATTGGCCTGCTGCAGTGCAGGCGAGTTTCCTACTGCGTGGCTGCGGTGATAATCTCGGTGGCCTTGGTGCTGGAGATGCCCCACTCCTGCAGGTTGCCGTCGCACGGAATGATGGTGAAGGTCTCGTCTGAGGCCTCCTGCAGCGTGAATGAATCCCAGACGTCGTCGGCGCTGGTGACAAAGAGAATCCCTTTGGGACCGTTGGTCCCGAGCTTGTGCGAGTACATCGGCCCGCGCGGGTGTGCCTTCAGGATCTGAAGGACAGGCTCCCACAAGCGGCCGGGCGTCTTCTGCTTCTTCCTCACGTCGAGCGTCTGGTCTGGTCGAGCCCGCACAAGCTTGCTTGTACCTGTGCGCGGGTCCTTCCACGTCATAACCTCCTCGTTGTCCCTGGTCTTGGAGAAGAAGTCCTTGGCGTGCACCTCGGAAGAAAAAAACACAAAGTACGCGTACTGAAGGTTGTAGAAGCGGCCGGTAGCTTCCTCATGCACAGCCTGTGGGACAATCTGCTTGACCTTGTTCCAGTGAGCTTCGAACTGGGCGCCCATCATCTTCCTCGGGAACCCTCCAACCCATACCTTGCATGGATCGTGTGGTCGATCGAGCGGCGGAGCGGATGCAGCCCTGCGCGCCCTCTCCGGGGCACTTCCACCATCAGATGGCATCCCCAACCAGGAAGGGGCAGAACCGAGGCTGGCGGTGCTCATGGTATTGGCGCTGTCCATCTTCTGCTGGAGTGCCCTGAGGTCCTGCTGCACCTGCCCGAAGAACTTGGCATGGCGGTCGACCGTCTCCGTCAGCGTGTCCATTCTGCGCACGAGGTCGGCCAGGCTCGCGACGGTCGTGCTCATCCTGTCGGAATTCTCCATGAGCAGATCCATCTTCTGCTCCGCCCCTGCCATGGCACATGGGAGCAAAACTGGTGGTGTCCGCTCGGGTGTGACCACGAGAACGATCTTTCAAGACGAGCTGCCCACTCAAACGCCCCAGCAGCTTGAGCCAAAATGGCAACGGAGGAGGAGGAGGAGGAGGAGGAGGAGGAGGAGGAGGAGGAGACGAGGAGACGAGGAGAAAAAGGGGGAGGAGGAGGGAGCCCCGCAAACCAAACTCATCACCGTCTCGGCCTCCCTCGCCCCCCCCCCCCTCGTCTCCGCCGTCCCCCGAAGACGAGGGGAAACGTCGGGGGGGACCAGCTCAGGGGGAAACATCGACCTGGGACTCCTAGGATCCGCGATGCATCGCCGGCAGGACCCAGATAACGCATCCGCAGGCTCCCTGGCTGGGTGGACAATCGGGCCCCTATCGGCGATCAGTGGGCGATTGGGGGGCGATGCATCCCCTGTTGAGCCTATCCACCCCCAAATGCTCCCCCCCGAACGACCACTGACACCCACTCGTTCCCAGCTGGCGACTCCAAGTGAGAACTCCATCATCTCGAGGAACAAACAATGGCACAAGCGTCCGCGCTGATCTCTCGGAACCGCGCTGGACCCCCCTCCCTGGCACGCGGAGCGCGCCAAGGGCGGCGCCGGAGGCGCCGCCTACGTCCTGTCCCTGGCGGAGGCAACAAAAAAGAGGGGTGGATAGCTCAAGGGCGGGCATCACGCGCCTCGGACGACCGAAATGGGTATGGAAAAAATTGGCACCATGCCCAGCCAACGGTCCCAAACCATCAGCAGCCGCTGTTGGGCAGGCAGCCTTCTATCTCAAACGAACAGGAACTGCGGTCGGTCTTTGTACCCACTCTTTTTTCGTGCTGACGCGCCCCTGATCGGCATGGCAATGTCGAGCATTCAGCCATCTGGAAGAGTGCTTGTTGCAAAACAAATCGCAAAACGAAGATGCTGACACAATAAACGGTTGACCTTGAGGTCAAGTTGCAATGAGAAGCACTCATCGCCCTTGCTCGCTCTGGAGCAACACATCCTGGCAGGACGAAACAATAACAATAAAGAGAACAATCACTACATGCAATCGAGACTCGTCGCCTCAATACCTGATTTGTTTCGGGCAAACCAGCCTAGTTATTTTGACAGTTTGCCCTCGCGTGGCGGCTGTCCTGCACGTGGCCTGTGCTTCCCTGCCTGTTCGCGCGGCGTCACGCCTGAATTGGCTGCAGCGGAGATAGGTCCTTGGCGGAGAAGACGAATCTTTCCCACCGCAGTGACTCCACCAACGCACCGCACTCCACGCTTAATCCCCCCCGAGCCCGCGACACTGGACTGTCAGCTTGCTGACTGTCCGCGGCGCCGTCTGTCAGCTCAAGGAGAAGTTAAGCGGAACAACTCATGTATCCTCATCCTTGCCTGCCCAAATGTTCATGAATACGGATGTACAATCGTAAACTACACCCACGCAGTCGTGGGATAAGCAGGCGGTGCCGCAAACCCTCAGACGCTTTTGACGCTTTTGACGCTTCCGACGCGTCTGACGCTCCTGACGATCTGGGCTCCAGGAGCTTCGCGGCGCTTCCGACGCTTCTGACGCTCCTCACACTCTGGGCCCCAGGAGCTTCGCGACGCGTCTCACGCTTCTGACGCGCTGGAGCTTCAGGAACTTCAGGAGCCTCTGGAGCTTCAGGTGCTTCAGGAGCTTCAAGGGTTTTAGGGGCTTCAGAAGCTTCTGGAGCTTCAGGGCTTCAGAAGTTCCGAGAGCGTCAGGAGTTTCAGGGGCTTGAGAGGTTCGCGTGGCGTCGGGGACCACACGGGGCCTCGACGCTACGCGGGAGGGCCCGAGAGACCCCGACACCAAGCGGGAGACCCCGACACCACGCAGGAGACCCCGACACCACGCGGGAGCCCCGACACGACACCATGCGGGACCCCCATGGGGAGACTCCGACACGACGCGGGAGGTCCCGACACCACGCAGGAACCCCTGGCATGGGGAGACCCTGACACCACGCGGGAGACCCCGACACCACGCGGGAGGCCCCGACACCACGTGGGAGCCTCATGAGCCCCGTGGCAGCATCTGGGAGCCTCCTTGGGGCCTCCTGGGAGTCTCTTGGGGCAGACTCGAAATTTCGGTTCATGCTCCGGGCGTCCCTGGGGTCGTGAAGGAGCTCTCTTAGGCTGTTCTGGGTCCTTCTGGGCGTCGTCCTGAAACTGTGTGCTGAGGCCTCTTGGGCCGTCGTGGATTGTCGGAAGCTTGAAGGGTGGGGGAGCCAACAGATAATGAAAACCCTGGCGAAATCAATGACTTGTGCTTCTCGGGGCGCTGGTCTGGGGCCTCGGGCGCCATCTGGAGCCTGCCCGGGGCAGTCCTGGCGCTTTCCTCAGGCCTCGGAAGGGCTTCAGGATGCGGAGAATTCGACATTGGGGTTCATGCCCTCCCCTGGATGTCAGTTCGGGGCCGTCTTGAGAGCCTCGTGGGCCGTCTCGGGCGCCCCTGGGGGCGTCATGGATACCTGCTAGGCAGTCCCCGGGGCCTTCTCGGGGGCCGCCGAGCCCGTCCTGAGGCGGTGTCGGAGGCCTTGTGGGCCGTCGTAGGGTGTCATGCTGTCGAGAAAGGGGGGGCACCGAAAACATTGAAACGCCGATGAGGAAATCATGATTTTTGCTCCTCAGGGCGCTTGGCTGGGACCTCGGACGCCCTCTGGAGCCTGCCCAGGGCCGTCCTGACGCCTTCTGGAGGCCTCCGGGGAGCGACAGGAGGCGAAAATCAAACATTTCGCTTCATGACCCCCCTGTGGAGGCCATCTTGGGGCCGTCTGGGGCTTTCCGGGCAGCTGTGCGGGGTCTCCTAGGGGCGTCTTGGGGGTGTCCTGGGGTCTTTGGGGGGCCTCTTGGAGGCGTCCTGAGGGTCGTTGGCGACCCTGTGGGCAATCTTCGGGCGGAGGGCTCAAAATTGCAGCTCGGATTCCGCTTTTGGGCCCATTTCGAGGATTGCTTGGGGGGGTCCTTGGGGGCCTGCTGGCGATCTTCGGGGTCCTCTTGGGGCCGAGGCCTCGAAATATGGGTTCGCATTCCCCCCCCACAAGCTCCTCTAGGGGCCTTCTTGGGAGGTCCAGGGTGCCTCTTGGGCCGTCTTGGGGCCTTCTCGGGGACCTCTTCGGCCGTTGGGGGACTCTCCTAGGGGCCTCTGGGCCCGTCTTGGACGCTGGGCACATGAAAACAGTGACTGCGATAGAGATGTACGCCCTCCCAGGTGAACGGGGCGACGTTGCCTCTCCGGGGTTCTCTCGAGGGCCCTCTTGGAACCGTCTTGGGGCATCCTGGGGGCCTGCCGGCGATCGGCGGGGTCCTCTTAGGGCAGAGGCCCCGACATGTGGGCTCGAGTTCCCCCCGCGGGGCCCCTGGTGGCGCCCCCTTCGGCCGTAGGAGTAGGAGGAGGAGGAGGAGGAGGAGGAGGAGGAGGAGGAGGAGGAGGAGGAGGAGGAGGAGGGGGAGGAGGAGGAGGAGGAGGAGGAGGAGGGGGCGGTCCCTGGTGCCTCCCGGGCCTCTCGTCTCCCCCCACGGCGCGGGTGCCCACGGTGGACGCGCGAAGGCCAAGCCATCCTTCCTGCACACGGTGCACCGCTGGCCCCCCCGGTTTCCTGCCACTGCTCAGCGCAGGAGACGAAAGTCAAGCGTGCTATCGAGATCGCCATCGCTGAAATTCGCCACGGAGTGGGGGGCGAACCCATCTCTCGCTGCGAATGTGCGCTGCGTGGGCCCCCCTTGGCCAGTCATGAGGAGCTGAGCCCGTCTTGGGGCCCCCTTGGGGCCCTCTCCGACCATGCAGAGATCCTCCAGCCCCGTCGGGCCTCCTTGGGGACTCTCCTGGGCCGTCTTGGAGCTCTCCTGAGCTGCTTGAAGCTCTCGTCTGGCCGTCTTGGCGTTCTCTCGCCCTCTCGGGCCGATTTTGGGAGCCTTCGGGGCCGTCGTGACCGCTTAGGATTGGAAAAGCAAACATCCCGGACATACGCGTTTTTCCATGCGAAATGCCTGATTTGTGCCGTTGGGCGGCTTCTCGGCGACCTCTTGGGCCGTCTTGAAGGTCTTTGTGGCCGTCAAGGAGCAATCTTGGGCCATCTTCGAGCGCTCGTGGCCCGTCTGGAGGCCATCTCAGTGCGCTCTTCAGCCATCTTCCAGACAACCTGGGGCGCTTTGGGCGCCTCTTGGGCCAGCTTGGGGGCCTCTGCGGGGGTCCGGGGCTCCCTTGTGGACCCTCTTTGAGCCCTCAAGGCCCCCCGGACCGCCATGCAAACCAGTGGCCGCGGTTCCGGGCCTTCCCCTGGCCTACTCGATACATATATATATATATATATATATATGTGTGTGTATCTTTGTATACACACACACTTGAAGCAAACTTGCAATGCCCTCCACCCCCTCCTCCTCCTCCTCCTCCTCCTCCTCCTCCTCCTCCTCCTCCTCCTCCTCCTCCATCGGCCACCCCTTGCCTCCCTGGCAAGTCCAGGGATGCACTTTGACCTGGCCCTTGGGGAAGGCACTCGTCATCCAGACCGCCTGGGGCGTTGGGGAAGGCCGCAGCAAGACCGCCTGGGAAATTGGCGGCGCCGGGGAAGGCGCAGCGCCGCGTGGGCTGTGGCCACAGCCAGCCAATCTTAAAAATAAGTAGGCTCCCTGCCGTGGGCCTGGGCCTTCGAGCACGTCTGAGGAAGGCCAGCACTTGTTCTGCGATCGACTCCCTCCCTGCCACCGCCAGTTCGCCTGCGGGAAGTGAGACCCGGTGTTGCGGACGGCGGAGACCTAGGGAAGCTCTGGTATCCCCGACCCCAATTGCAATGCAGCGTCCCTTCAACCCCGAGGAGGTGTGCAAGGTGCTGCGGCTCCACTCCACTGTGGGATCGCTCGCAACTGTGAGATTCACCAGGGTCCAAGAACCGGACCGCGAGTGGGGCGATCCTGGATAGGTGAAGGGGCGGCGCCGGGGGAAGGTCCCAGCGCGGAGTGGGCTCTAGCCACAGCCAGCCCAAACTTTAAAAAAAAAGAAAAAGAGAGCACGCACCCTGCCGTGGGGTGGGGCCTTCGGAGGCAACCTTGGGCACGCGCGAGGACGACTAGCTCTTGCTCTGAGCTCGACGCCCAACCTCCATCAAGCTTCCAGTCATCAAACGAGGAGGATCCCCGAATTACAATGCTACAGCTTGTATCAAGGTGCGGCGGCCCCACTGTGGAATCGCTCGAAGCTGTGAGATCTACCAGGACTTCGAACAACAACCCCCAGAAGGAACTCTGCTGGCACCCCACACGAGGGCCTCTCGGATGCCTGCCGGACTCTTCGGCTGCAGCCACAGCCAGCCCATAGTTAAAACAAAAAAAAACACGCACCCTGCCGTGGGGTGGGGCCTTCGGAGGCAACCTTCGGGCACGCGCGAGGACCACTAGCTCTTGCTCTGAGCTCGACGCCCAACCTCCCTCAAGCCACGCCCCTGAAATAACCTTACCTCATAACCGTAGGCTTGAGAGCTTCATTGCGCACTTGCAATAGCTCAGAAATACCTGCCGGGCCATTATGGATATCCCTATTCCCCTGGAAATTATCACCATGGTGACAACGATATCCTAGAGGATGCTACCCAACTGAAAAACAGCGTGTTCTTGCTGGAATATGCAAAGAAATCGTTGCCGGACTCTTCGGAACGCTGCTGGAGGAGAACGGTGAGCAAACCGCACAACTGGAGCGGGGCAGTCCTGGACCGCACGCGGCGTTGCCGGAGACGGCTGGGTCCGCCGCCCCCTGCCGAGTCGTCGCGGGGGTGCCTGGCGTGCTGGATGCTTTCGGTTTCGGCTCTTGCTCTGCTCCACAGGCACTCCCCCTGGGGCCCTGGCGCGTGCCGCGGGCCACCTGGAAGACCCGGTTGCAAACGGCTTCCCTGCCCCAGACTGGCAACCTTCACAGATTGTCTTTCGGCTTTGGAAGGAGTTTGGAAGTTGCTGCTTTTCGGTCCTCCGACGGCCAGAGGCGGTCCACGAGGCCATCAAGACCGCCCCAAGAGCGCCCCGGAGGCCTCCAAGATGGTCCCAGGACGGCCCAAGACGGCCCCAAGAGGGCCCAAACACGGCCTAAGAGGCCTCCAAGACGCCCAAGATGGCCTCCAAGCGGCTAAGATGGGCCCAATATGCCTCCAAGACGGCCCAAGATGCACCCAAGATGGCCTAAGATAGCCTCCAGATGGCCTAAGACGGCCCAAGGGGCCCCCAAGAGGCTTGCCAGATGCTCCAAGAGCTCCTCCAGGAGGGCCAGAAGAGGCCAACATCAGTGATTTTCCTCACGTGTTTGACGGATTTTGGCAGTTGCATCTTTTCGGGATTCCGACGGCTGAATACGGCACAAAGAAGCCCACCAAGATCGCCCCAAGATCGGCCCTGAGGCCTCCAAGAGCGCCCGATGACGGCCCAAGAGGCCTCCAAGACGGCCCGAAGAGGGCCCCAAGACGGCCCAAGAGGCCTCCAAGACGCCCAAGATGGCATCCAAGACGGCCCCGAAGCGTCCCAAGAGGGCCCCAAGTCGGTTCAGAGAAGCCCCCAAGACGGCCCCCGACGGCGTCAGACGGGTCAGGAACGCCCTAAGACGGCCAAAGAGGCACCCGAGAAGCCCCCAAAGGGCCCCAAGAGGCCCTAAAGAGGCTCTACGAGATCCCAAGATAGGCCCAACATGGCCTCCAAGACGGTACCAAGATGGCTCAATCGAGCCCAAGAGTGCCTCAAGAGGCTCCGAAGAGGCATACTCCCTCCTGATCCTTTATCCTCCTTCTCCTCCTCTTCCTCTTTCTCCCCCAAGTGCTCCCCGAAGGCTTTCCAAACCGACTCGGGGAACACATGATCCGCTAGCTTGGCCAAGCTCTAACCCAGCTGTCGACCGCATAGGCGCTTCCACAAGGGCGAATCGCCACCTCGGACTCCTCTTGTTCCTCCTCATGTTCTCCTCCTCCCCCTCATCCTCCTTGTCCCCTCGTCTCCCCTGTACTAACGTGCACAGAGCAGACAGCGAAGATGTATCAGGACGCCCAAGATGGCCTCCAAGACAGCCAAGATGGCCCCAAGAAAACTAAACATTGATTCAAGATGTGTCGAACAACTGCCCAATATGCACTCACGATTGCCCAAGATGGCCTTAAGCAGGCCCAAGACGGCCCCAGCGGTCCCCAAGAGAACGCCAAAACGTGCCAAGCGAGGTCACCGAAAGGCAACATTCATATATTTTCTTTCGGATTTGGACGGAGTTTGGAATGTGCTGCTTTTCGGTCCTCCGACGGCCCAAGGCGGTCTACGAGGCCATCAAGATCGCCCCAAGAGCGCACCAGAGGCCTCCAAGATGGTCCCAGGACGGCCCAAGACGTCCCCAAGACGGCCCCAAGAGGGCCCAAAGACTGCCTAAGAGGCCTCCAAGACGCCCAAGATGGCCTCCAAGACGGCCCTGAAGCGCCCCAAGAGGGCCCCAAGATGGTTCAGAAAAATCCAAGACGGCCTCAGAGGCCCCCAAGAGGCGCCCAGAGGCCCCCAAGAGACACCCAAGAGGCCCACCATCCCACACAAAAGCAATACAAAACCCACTCCACTCCGCTGGGCCTCCCAGAGGCCCACGAGAGTGGCGACAGCTGCGCACTTCGCTGCACCCCAGGGAGCCGCGAGGTCTCGGCTGGGTGCGCTGACAGCTTCACTGCGCTGGGCCTCTCAGAAGCCCACACCGTGGCGACAATTGTGCCCCTCGCAGCCACCCAGGGAGCCGCGAGGTCTCGGCTCGGTGCGATTACAAATCCGCTCCTCTGAGCCTCCCAAGGGCCAACGAAAATGGCGACAATTGCACAGTTCGAAGCTCCCGCACAAGGGAGCCGCGAGGTATCGGGTGGGTGCGATTACAACTCCACTCCTCTGAGCCTCCCAGGAGCCAACGAACATGGCGACAATTGCACAGTTCGAAGCTCCCGCAAGGGAGCAGCGAGGCCTCGGGTGGGTGCGATCACAACTCCACTCCGCTGAGCCTCCCAGGAGCCCACGAAACTGGCAACAACTTCACACTTCGCAGCCCCCCAGGGAGCCGCGAGGACTCCTCCAAGATGGCCCCAAGATGACCCTCAAGGCTCCCAAGCGGGCCCCAAGAGGGCCCCAAGAGGGTCCCAAGAGGCGCCCAGGAGGCGCCAAGAGGGCCCCAAGAAGCCCCCAAAAGGCTCCCACGAGACCCCCACGAGGCGCACAAAGGCTGCCCCAAGGTACCTAAGATGCTCCAAGAGGCCCCAGCGACCGCCAAGAGGCCCCCTATACTCCCCAAGAGGATCAAGAGACATCCGAAGAGATCCCGAGAGGCATCTGAGAGGCCTCTGGCCTTTCTGCTCGCCCTCCTCCTCCTCCTCTTCTTCTCCTCCTACTATTCCTCATCTGCCTATTTCTCCTCGTCCCTCCTCCGTCCTCCCCCCCTTCCCCTGCTCCTCCTCCTTCTCCTCCATCCTCCCCTTACGACGGCTCCCCCAAACCCATGATTAGGGCAACTCGCCTGGGCCTCCGACTCCGTCCGTGGCCGCGCGTTACAGTTGAGGTTGATTGGAGAGGACACGCGAGAGGACACAAGACCCTCGCCTAGGGCCACGCTTTCATAGAAATGCAGAGGGCATGGGTCGCGAACCGCAGGGGGTACCCTTGATCTGGCAGGGCCGACCTTAGAAGAAGAACGAACGCCAGAAACATAAGCTTTTTGCGCTCCGCGCGGATTTCTTGGATCTGCGCTGGACCCCCCTCCCTGGCGCGCTCCGCGCGCCAGTGGAGGCGCCGGAGGCGCCGCCAGGGGGCCCCAGCGCAGGTTCAAGAAATCCGCGCGGAGCGCCAAGATCTCATCTCTCCATGGCGTCCTCTCGAGCCCTGCCACTTTCAACCTCGACTGCACCCCGCTGCTCAAGAAGCCGGGCCTCGGCTGCCCCTCCATAGGGAGCCCACATAGGACGTACGCGCCAAACTATGTACATGAACACGGCCCCTCGATCCGCGAGACCGGCCGCGTTATACGAAACCAGCGTGGATTCATGTACATGTACGTCCTTCTTTCGCTCCTGTGGCGGCCGGCATCGGCGTCGCCCGGCGGCGGAGTGGGCGCAGACGTGCTGGCTGGCCGCGGCGCCGCGTCGCAGAGGCCGCCGCGGCGCTCCCTTGAGCGCACGGGGGCCGCGCCTAGTGCGGGCGCCCTCCGATTTCTCGGATCCTGTGCTGGGCCCCCGCACCTCTCTGGCGCGTGGAGGGCGCCAGAGGCGGTGCCGGAGGCGCCGCCGGGGGCGGGGCCAGCGCGGATCCAAGAAATCCGTGCGGAGCGCCAAAAAGTAGATGTCGAGAGCGTTTCTTTCTTCTTCGACTCCCGCCCTCCCCTCCCTGCGCCGCCGCCGGTCGTCTCGTCATCGTCCGTGCCGCCGTGGCGTGTCGTGTCTTCGTCTGGCCCCGTCTGCGCCTGTCGCAAAAAAACGGCCTCAGCTGCTGGAGGCCAGGCGCCTCCCACCCATTGCCGACAGCGACCTAATGGCGTGGCGGCGGCGAGCCTGGCTGGGCGCCCCCTCTCCGGGTAGCGTGGGCCTAGCCGGCTCGCGGCCGAACTGGCTGGGGCCAGGGGAGCACGGGATCCTCTCACGCTCGTCGAAGACGGGCGGCCTGCTCCGGCGGGTGGCAGTGGGGGGTGACCTTCATGGGGGGGTGAAGAGAAGTAAGACGACGCCAGGACGAGGGCAAAATCGGGTGAGGACAAATCGGATCTCTGAGATCTGGCGGCTCTGGAGGACGTCTCGGGCGCCGCGGCCCAGAGCGCTCCGGAGCGCTTTGGAACAGATCTGTCTTTGTCCTGGCCCCGTCCGACAAAGGACCCTGCAGGGGCCTTTTGGAAGCTCCCTTTGGGCCCCCGCTGGCTCCTCAAGGGACCCTGAAGCCTAAGGGGCCTCTGCAGGGCCCTTTTCTCAACCCCTCACGCAGGTCGCCCCCCATTGCCACCCGCCCGACCTGCGGGAGATGCCCTGGCCAGGACTCGTCAGATCCTCCTTGCGGTCCTCGCCGCTGAGACGATTGTGCCCAAGCAAGGTGCAGGGGGGCCGCTCGGCCTCACCGACCATAGCACTGGTCCCGTGGAGCCCAAGGCAGGCCCCGGGAAGCATCGAGGACTCCACGGAGAGGACGGAAGTGGACTCGATGTCGCTCGTCTGGTTGCCCACTGCCTTGCCGCTGGCCTGCTCCACCCGCGGGAACAACTCGGGCGCCGCGAAGGCACCGGCCGCGGGCTGGCGTGACATGCGGCTGCGCACGCGAGGCTCGGGGATCCGCATGTCGAGCCTCCCTTGGGCGTCGCGTAATTGGGGGGCGATGATGGGGGGGAGAAAGGTCTACCCTGCAGGCCCTGAAAGCCCCCTCTGGGGCCTTAAAGGGCCTCCTGGGGCTCACAGCAACCCGTCAAGGCGCCCTTTTCTGGAGCCCTCGCTGCCCCGTCGTTTACCGCCCCCCACTGCGCGGCGGCCAACTCCTTTGAACGGGCCCTGGGGCACAGAAACAAATACACACAAATAAAACTATTCCCTATATTTTACTGTATGTTCTGGGTTTTTGCCTCCCCCCCACTTCCCATATTTCCCCATACTTTCCTGGGAATCGACGATTCATTGTGTCTGTGTGTTTCTTTCCCTCCTGATCCTTACATAGGGCAGGTCTTCGGGAGTCGCAGGTGCCGAACTCTGGGGAGGTGGGAGCGCACGAGGCCTGCGGATCTGGTTGGGACCGAGGTCGCCCCGGCCCGGCACGGCCCCGCTGTGGCCCATTCCGCGGGGGCGCCCGCGGGCCATCCTGGGAGTCGAGGGCTGCCTCGGTGCGGGCGCCACGCTGGATGCCTCCGCCCACGCCAACGTTGGCCTTGGTCGCTGCCCACTGACATAAGGGAGATTCTCGCCCGGCCTTGGTCGCTGCTCCATCCCCGCGGTGCCTGGAGTGGGGATCCTCTAGGGTTGCACAGGGTGCTTCGCCCCAACTGGTCGCCGCTAGGCTCCCTCCGGACGGTAATACAGTGCTTCGCCCAACGGCTGAGCCAGAAGCAGCTTGAGCCAATTTGTTTGGTACGGCTTGCAAGTGAGTGGTGTTGGGAGGCCGCTGGGGCCCTCTGGAGATCTCAGAAGCACCGTGGAGTGCACTGTGGCCCCTCCTGGGTCGTCTCGTGTGGAGACTGTGGGGGCGACGGGGACGTCGGGAGGGAACATGCTCCCAGGGGGAGACGTCGACATGGCATTGGCGATGAATCGCCGAGGGATCCGCGACCAGCAGTAAGTCGGGCCTGTCCCCCTACAGGGGGATTTTCTACGAAAAACAAAAAAATCCCAAAAATGCCCCCAAAAGGTGAAACGTACTAAAAAAATAGCTCCCGGACTATTTTTGGACTATGTTTTGATAATTTTTGGAAGATTTTTGATTTTTCGTCGAGAATTCCCCTGTAGGGGGACAGGTATTGGGGTATTTTGGGGGTATTTTGGGTGTATGTTTGGGGGCTGGGGGCATTTTTGTGTTGACTATGTTGGGGGTATTTTTGGCGTTTTTTTTGTTCCGTCGAAAATCCCCCAACTTAAACCTGATAGCGACGCTGGGCGGTCCTGGGCGGGCGCGGCCCTCGGGCCCCCCTCGGCGATCGCCTGGGCGATCGGGGGCTGGCGCGTCCCCCCGCGGAGCCCGTGCCCACAACCGGCTGCCCCCGAGGGAGGGCCGACTTGCCGTCGCTCGGACGTCCATGTCCTGTGTACAGTCGGGGCGCCTTGACCTAAGGAACCTCAAATAAGGAACGAGGCCCCTATTTTCCACAAGTTAAACTTCGATTGCCAGCCGAAAACACAAGGAAAATCCAAGGCAAGCTGCGAAACTATCAAGGAACACGGAGCCCCTCCCCAACGAACAGGGTTCCTTCTTCAGGGCCCCGACTGTGTTTTTCGGTTTCGTGCGTGCTTTTTGTCGCTCGATGATCCAGGATGCTCCTCAAGGATCCTCGCCGAGAGAAAAAAATACACACGTCCGAGCGATGCCAGGCCGAGGAGGACCGAGGGTTAAGTCGGGCCCGTCCCCCTACAGGGGGGAGCTTCGACGAAGAATGAAAGAAACCCCAAGAATAGCCGAATCGTAGTCCAAACATAGTCTGGGGACTACTTTTGGGGTATGGTTTGACCTTTTTGGGGCACTTTTTGTGCATTTTTATTGTTCGTCGAAAATCCCCCTGTAGGGGGCACGCCCGACATAAACCGAGGGGCGTTCTGCAGTCGGGGTGGATTGGAGAGGACACGCGAGAGGACACGAGCCCCTTCCGATGGCCACATTTTTTCTGGGGGGGGGAATCGACGATTCATATGATTAACTATCTGAGATCGAACTCCGTGTATAACTACGTAAACTGAAAGCCCGATAACCGAATCCACTGGCCGAGTGATACGAATTCCCACTTAAAACGAATTCCGATGGCCACATTGCCAGTGGAACATCGAGGGCATGGGCCGCGAAACATAGGACACAAGGGTGCCCTTGTTTGGGCAGGGTCGACCTACTAATCAAACTCGACTGTGTTGGCAACCCCGTGCCATCAGGAGTGGAGGCTCCCCAGGGCGGGGGGGGCAGCTCCAAGGCGGACCCCTTTGGAGGCCCCTTTTGGAGGCTCTCTTCTGGGCCGTTTTGGGTCTCGCATGGGCTGTCATGAGCCCGAGGCCCTCCTGGTGTCTCTGGGCGCCATCTTTGGCTATTTCGGGGTGTCCCTGGGGCTCTCTCTTGGGCAGCCTTCGAGTACGCAGAAAGCCATCCGAGATCGTGTTGAGCCGAATGCGCGAATAGCCTAAGCTTAGGTCGGGTATGTCCTCCTACAGGCGGATGTTCGACGAAAAATGAAACATAGCCAGACATACCCAAGAATAGTCAACAATATTAGAAAAACAGCCCCCAGACTTGTCTGGTGACCATTTTCGAATCTCCCTCCTGCCGAGAGACACGTCCGACGTAAAACTAAACACTGGCAGCACGAATGCGATCGACGGTTTATCTCCAAGGCCCCCGCCCGCGCCCCGATGCCACGAGGAGCCAGAGAAGGGAGAACAGTAGACGTCTGGCCTCCGAGTCTCTGCTTCCTCTGGGCAGTTTGCACAAGGAGGTGGAGGGAGGGTGGAGGGCTTCTTAGCAGGAGACTGCTTCTTCGGAGGCGCCGGCCTTACATCTATGGATAAGGCCCGCGCTCTCTAAGAGGCAGGGGTGCTTCGAAGAAGCCCTTACCCCTCCCCCCACCCCCTTCTGCGCGTGGCTGATCCCCTGTCGTCAAGAGCGGGGAGCATTATGTCGGGCCTGTCCCCCTACAGGGAGATTTTCGACGAAAAATAAAAAAGTACCCATTGTCCTCGTCCTCCTTGTCCTCGTCCTCCTCCTTGTCCTCGTCCTCCTCCTCCTCCTTCTCCTCCTCCTCCACCTCCTCCTCCTCCTGCCCCTCCTCCTCCTCCTCCTCCTCATCCTCCTCCTCCTCCCCCTCCTCCTCCTCCCCCTCCTCCTCCTCCTCCTCCTCTTCCTCCTCCTCCTCCTCCTCCTCCTTGATCCACCGTGCGGGATCTACGATCGAGTAAGTCGAGGAAGGTAGATTTTTCTTGTCTGGCGTTTGCGAGCAGGCGCTCTGCGAGTCGTGGAACGCGCTCGGTGATCCACGACTGCCTGGATCCTCCAATGTCCAGCTGACCTCGAACAGAAGCGTCTTAATCAGCGGCCACAAGCGGACATGCGGCGGTCGACTCAGGTCGGGCGTGTCCCCTACAGGCGGAACGTGCAGGAAACATCAGAACTGGTCAAAACATCTAGTCGAGAGACATACTAACAAAAACGTCCCCTGACTATCTTGTTTGACTCTTGTTGGATTGTCGTCCTGTAGAGGGACACGCCCGACTTGAGCTTAAGCTGCGGCCGCGCGCGGACAGGCGCCGGGCGACCGACGGCGGGGCGCGCCGGGGCAGCGAGGCACACTCAGGAGGGGAAAAAACACACAGGCACAATTAATCGTCGATCCCCAGGAAAATATGGAAAAATATGGGAAGTGGGGGGGAAGGCAAAAACCCAGAAAACATGGGAAAACATAAGGAATCTTTTTATTTGTGCGTAGTTATTTGTGTGTCCTGGGGCCCCTTCACACACGAGGGCAGCAGAGCGCGAGGCGCAATAAGGCGGCCGGGGGGGAGGCGAGGGAGGCCACACCCAGAGCCTGCAGGGCATCGCGCGTGTGGACAGGAGCACACCGCCAGCCAGGAGCGACTGCTTCCAGTGCCCCGCAGCGCTGCTGCCCGAGGTGTTTCTTCTTCTTCTTCTCCTTCTTCCTCTTCTGAAGGGGCCCACAAACACACACAAATAAATACACACACAAATCAAATAATTCCCCATATTTTCCTACATTTTCTGGGTTTTTGTCTTCCCCCCCCCTTCCCATATTTTCCTATATTTTCTGGGGAATCGACGATGAATTGTGTCTGTGTGTGTTTTTCCCTCCTCATCTTCTTCTCCACGACCGGTCTTTCTTCACACGGCTGCCAGCGAAGGGCGCTCAGCCCACCACAGCAGGCTGGTCTCGGGACGGCTTCGGCGCCGGCTGCTGACACCGCGGGGGTCGTTGAACCTTGAAGGATCGGCCGTTTCCGAAACGTGAGATCGTTCAGCATCTAAGGCTCCCAACTTCGCGCTTCGCGCTGCGCGAAGCGCGAAGCGCGAATAACTTCGCGCTCTCGCGCCGCTCTCCCAAAGGGAGAATAGGAGGACGAGGAGGAGGGGGAGAAGGAACGAGGACCGCGAAGCGCGAATAACTTCGCGCCCTCGAGGGAGCCCTTGAGGATCGGCCGTTTCCGAAACGTGAGATCGTTCAGCATCGACCGATGCTGGATCGCCGGCGGCGTCCGACAAGGAACGCCGGCCTGCGGGGTTGCCGCCGGTCGACTCGACGCGAACCTTCCGCAGACTAGGTCTGTGGCCGATGCAGGACAGCGGCGCGCCCTTTTCGCGTTCCTGCCACCCTCCTGCACGCCGCTCAAGTACTCCAGATTTGGTAATAAAGGGAGGGGGGTCTCATTTCGGGGGGGGGGTCTTCAGGCTATCTTGGAGGGCCTGGGGGGGTCTGGGGACGGTGTTTTGGAGGGTTCTCCCGCGGGGGAGGTCTGAAGTGGCTTGTCTTGGAGGGCCCAGACCCCCTCCCTTGTATTACGAAATCTGGAGCAGACTTCGGCTCGGCATCGCTCGGACGTGTGCATTGTTTTTTTCGGCGAGAGCCATCGAGGAGCACGCCGCTCAAGTACCC